GTGCTCCCTTTCCTCAGTGTTTCTGCTTGCTGTTAGTCAGTGGTTACATCCCATTGCTTGTGCTTGCACAGGAGCTTCATGAAAACTGGTGTACCTGTTCTCTGAAAGGTGTAACCTCAGATGGGGCATTTGTAGAGTTAAATTTCTGGTATCCTAATTTTTCCTTCTCCCTTTTCTTTTACTTGATCCTCTCTGTAAAGTACTTGTGATCAAAATATGTCTCTTTCCTTCTTTCCATCCCTTTTAATCTTCCTGACTAACAGTTCTCTGCATTTCCCTTGTTATAGGTGGGCTGGATCCTCTCCATCCTCGATGAGCTGCAACTCAGCCCCCCGCCTCCAGTGGCTGTCCTTCCGCTTGGCACTGGGAACGACCTTGCCCGCACCCTCAACTGGGGTGGGGTAAGCACTGACTGGGGTACCCTTACGTATGGGCTCTCAACTTGCTGCTCTGATTTATTTGTGTAGGGTGGAACTTCATTTTGGCTAAAATAGCAGGTAGGGCTGTGTCCGAGGTCTGATTCAGTTAGGCACAATGGTTTGGTTCAAAGTGCAGTCTCGTATCTTGAACTACTAATCATGTAGTAGTTGTAACAAAAGTGTACGTAAATGTGTCTGGTATTTCAGGCCAAGCAATGAGGAGAATATGCAGGCTTCTAATTGAAACATAGTTTAAACTTTATGTCTCTGTATTTATGCTTGACTACACCACTGAAGTCATTCCAGGCAAGGCAAATACACTTTGAGCTCCTCTCCTTATGGCCTTACTTTGCCTGCCCAACACTTGTGTACCTCAGCAACAGCTTGTTGAAATGCTTGATATATCAAAATTTAGCAATATTCTGAGGTTGTCTTAGGAACATTCAATCTGGTGTTTTAGGCCTGTGTGGAAAGAGGGAGGTCTGTCAGGTAATTGTAGAGTGACTTACTTTGCTTTCATTGTCCATGACTGATACTCTGGTGACGCTCTGCTGCCAGGGTTACACAGATGAGCCAGTGTCCAAGATCCTGTGCCATGTAGAAGATGGGACCATTGTCCAGCTGGACCGCTGGAATCTCCAGGTTGAGCGCAACCCTGATTTGCCCCAGGATGAGCTGGAGGATGGGGCACGTAAGGTTAGAGCATTCAAGTTTGTTTTGTTTTGTTTTGTTTTCTCCCCAGGGAGATGATAGGATGACCTAAGAGCATCTTTAGGTTACTCCACAAGGTGCGTGGGTGGAGAAGCTCCAAACTTTTTTCGTTCTTTAATTGCATCTCTTCCTTTTCCTCTTTTCATGTGTTAGTGGTTCCAGAGGTGCGTGAAATGTAATGCAAACCAGCCATTTATTCGTTGTTTCTGACTCCCAGGCGTTGAGCGTTTATCTCAAGATCTAAATGCTGGAAAAAAATCCCTAGCATTTTATCTGAAAGGTCATTGGTTTCTTTTCTCTAATTAACCTGGGGTGGCAGGAGAAGCAACTCTGTGACTACTATCCATTCCTAAACTAGACAATACTAAAAACAGGATGTAGAATTTTGTTCCTTAGGATTTTGCTAGTGGACACCGTTTCCTCCTTTACAGCAAGGTGTAGTGTATTTTTGTATCTAACTTGTGTGTTGATCTCCACATAATCTCCTTTAGTGTATCTTGATAGTTGAAGGATGGGAAAATTTTTCTGTGAGGGTATAACTTTTATAGTAATACATCATTTGGACTGGAGATGTTGGAAGTGTTACAGTCATTAAAAAATGGTTCTGTGAACCATTTTCCTCTCCTCGGTTGTAATTTCCAGCTTATCTATCAGATGCTGCTGTTCCCTCTCTGCAGCCCCGCTGGGCACGTGTAATGATGAAGAGGCCAGATGTGTGCTTCCCTGCCTCATGCATCCGCAATAGAATCAGGACTTCTTGTCTGGGACTTCATTGCTCCTGGTTATCTGCAAAGCAGGAATAACACAGCTGAAGTTTTGTTTTCCATGGGGAGCTTGAAGTGCCAGCAATTAGGAGAACCTTTGTGTTGACATGTTAAGTGGAGCAGCATTATGGGCAATCCCAACAACAACATAAGGAACGCTTTGTGTTTACAAAGACACACGTGTGTTCATAAAGTACTGTAGATGTGTGGTATTCTTTGGGCCTTTTTATCTGATCGTCTTCCACAAGCCGTTACTAACCTTCTAGAACAACCTTCTGCCTGCATTTCCCTGATCTGTTCCACTTTCTTCTTCACAGGTTTTCATGAGATGCAAGGTTTAAAGTAGTTAATTCCTGGTGTGTCATGGAATTTTTCATTCATGTTATTTTTACACGTCTTTTTATTATCCAATTGCAGCTTCCTCTCAGTGTCTTCAATAATTACTTCAGCCTTGGATTTGATGCACATGTTACATTGGAGTTCCACGAATCTAGAGGTAATAGGAACTTTTGACTTTCTTAGCCTTAGGAATGGGCAGTTATTTTATGAATTACAAATGGAGTTGGATTTAATGTCATGTTCTTACAATTCAGAAGGAAAGGTGGAACATAAAACCCTGAGATATGTATGAGTAGGAACGAAGTGATTGTATTGTGAGTTTCCAGGGGGCTTCATGATATAAAAATGAAAAAAATACAAGGAAAAAAGGCGTTCACTGGGGGAAAAGGGCTAAAAGGGGAGCTTTTCAAAGGTTTTGATCTTCTAAAGGAGGTACCAAGTACAGATATAAAGGAGGTTTTAGGCTGATGCAGAAGTGTCAGAGCAGAAAGAAAAGCAAATGCAAGTCAGGTGCAAGCCTGGAGGTGGAGGGAGGAGAAAAGCTGCAAGACTGTGGAAGTAGCAGGGTAGCAGGAGGATAATTGTGTTCTCAAACTGAATAGCTGGTACCTCTGGATGAGTATAGCATAATATCATGGGACTTGGTACAGGTCCAGAGTGTCTCTATGCGAGTGATAGGTTTTAATGTTCACAAAACTGTCAGGAGTTTGAGCTGTTGTAGCATCTTGTTTGTCCCCTTGCTGATGGCAGTTGTTACTACCCCAAATAGATCCATACGTGGCTCGACAGGTGGGCTTTGGGCTGATGTGAATTGCTCTATTTTATGTGGTTTAGGCAAGCATGCTTGCATAAACAAACCTTGTTCAACTGTTTGTGTTCAGCTTTTGGTCATTTCAGCTTCATATGCAGGTATTTTTTCTGAATCGCAGCCTCCCTTATCTTTACTTTCATGCTGTGAGAGTGTCTGTTCAAGATGAAAAGATAGCACTCTAATGCCATGCTAAATAAAGAGCAGAATACATGATGGAATGAGCTAATGCATATTTTATAACATTTAAGACTGCTTCAAGCTTTAGGAATAATAATGAGGGGCCACAAAAGGCACAGGAATGGAATTATGACATCTGTATGCATTTTTTTATGAATACATAGCACTATGCATTGCTAATGTGAGTGAATATACTGTATAGATGAAATGCATGGCTACTTTCTCACTTAATGGAAGCATTACTTAATAATGAAGTTATTGAGCACTATAAAGACTGGATGTAATTCCAGAGATGCTAGTGTTTTAAAAATTTACATGGGTGAAAGATTACTTGGCAGAGCAAGCTGTGTGTCTGTGAGTGGGTATGTGTGGCCAGGAGAGCTTTTCATAGTACAAGTGTGTGCTCTTACAAGTGGTTACTGCTGGTGTCTTCCTTACTCTCTCAAATTCTAAAATATACAAAGTGTGTTCTATGTCTTTTAGGAGAGATAAGCTTATAGCATTGGAGGTGTTGCTGCTATGTGGGTTTTATTGTTTTTCTTGTGGAACTGGGGTTGTTCAGCCTGGAGAAGAGCAGGCTCTGGGGAGACCTTATTGCAGCCTTTCAGTACTTCAAAAGGGGCTTATAAGAAAGGTGGGGACAGACTTTTTAGTAGGGCTTATTGTGATAGGACAAGGGGTAGTGGTTTTGAAGTAAAAGAGGGTAGATTTAGACTGGATATAAGGAAGATTTTTTTTTTTTACAGTGTGGGTGGTGAAACACTGGAGCAGGTTGCCCAGAGAAGTGGTCGATGCCCCATCCCTGGAAACATTCAAGGCCAGGTTGGACGGGACTCTGAGCAACCTGATCTAGTTGAGGATGTTCCTGCTCATTGCAGGGGCAGTTGGACTAGATGCCTTTTAAAGGTCCCTGCCAGCCTGAACTATTTTATGATCTTATGAATTAAGCAGTGCAAAATAGATTCTGATCTCATTTAGAATTGATGACAATCTGGAGAAACTCTTAGCAAAACTTAAAGCACTTTCATGGCTGTAGCACTTGGTCCAATAAGATAAGTGGTTGTATGCAGTTGCTTGTGTGGAGCTATTGTAATCACATATAGTATTAAAACAAACAAACGCCATGTCCCGCCCCTGCCAAACCAAAATAAATTAAATTTGATTTCAGCTCTCAGCCTATCAGGGCACTTTATGCAACAGAGATTGGTCAATTGTTATATTTAGAATAAACAGTGATTGCAGTGTCTTGGAGGAGCCTGTACATGAATGTGGCCATTTCCATGGCAACCTCTACATATTTCTTGGGACTAATCAGATTGAGCCTTGAGGGTTGGCTCCAAGCCTAAGGTATTTAGCTTTGCTTCTTCAGGATCTGTTCTGAGTACTGACTTTTTCCAGTTTCCTCCCCGTTATCCTTTTGCTTTGGTGAAGCAGAGGAGATGCAATTTACTTTGTCCCTGTAGAGCTGAGGGATCAAACAGCATGTCTACAGGACTGTTCATTTGCAGGACAACCACCCTGCTCCCCCCTCCCCGAGTCTACCACATTCCCTTTGCTGCTCCCTTGACGGCTTGAGAGTGGTGAGGATGGAGTGAGCCGTGGATATGCAGTCAGTGATTTACTTCTACAGTCAAAGTTGCACTCTACTCAACTTCAGGCTCTATTCCACATCACAGAAAGAGCCCTTCCTCCCTACCCATGCTCACCTCCTATGTTAGAAGTAGGAGCAGTTCAGTACGTTGAAGACTGCTGAGTCCCTGACCTCCTTTTCTGGTCTAAACTGGGGCTTTGATTCTGGTCAGTATTTGTTGTAAGATCCCTGTAAGAGCCAACGCTCTGGTGGCTGCTGCCCAGGGCCATCTGGGATCAGAGAACGTGCAGCACAGGCACTAAGCCTTCAGGAGCCTCCTGCTTCTTAGCTTGGGGCGTTGGGACTTTACATATAGAGCGGTCAGCTCAAGAAGTGAGATGAGATTTACTTACACAGTTAAATTAGCTGAAGAATAGGTGGCCCTGACGGCGTTCCAGGCTTACCTGGAACACAAGGAATGGATGATACAGCAGCTGGGCAAACAGTCAAACAAGAAATGCAAAGTAGCTCGTTCTTACAAAATGGAGCCTGATACTGTGAGATGTAGTGACTTCAAAGAGAACTAGAAACACGGTTTCAAGCGGTCATTTGAGAAGAATTAATTTGGAAGTGTTCACGCCTGTGTGGTGCTTTAGCCAGAAGGGTTATCTCGATGCTTGGATGTTTTCACTGGAGAGTTACTGAGCAAGGACAGGCGTTTGGTACCTGTGATGATCACTGAGTACAGTGTCAGAAGGGCTGAAACTGCGGGATGCCACGGGCTAGGAAAGTGGTTCCCAGGGAGGCACGAGAATGACCTGTGTTCTGGGAAGCCTGCCTTAGACAGGGAGATTAAAGGAGCTCCATTTAGCTTATCAGAGAGAAGGTTAAGAGGTGATTTAATCACTGCCTAAAAGTATTTACGCAAGGAGAAGATATCTGATAGTTAGGGGCTTTTTAATCTGACAGAGATAGAATAAGATTTAGCAGTTGGCAGTTAAAGTCTGAAAAGTTCAAGGCAGGAAAAAACCCCACGTTTATTTTAACAGTGAGAATAATTAACCATGAGATGTGCATTGCTACTTGACTATTAAAATTCTCCATCAGTTGGAGTCTAATCAAAATGAAACAGTTCTCTAAATAGGTATTAGAGTAACCACGTTTTTTTTGCTGTAGGAATATTTGGGTAGAGATGTCATTCCTCAGTACCTTCTAGATATCTTCTTTGTAACACATCAGAATTTAAGTGTCTGTCTCATCTTGTAATTTACTAATACTTTACTCCTGCTTAAAAGCATAAGTTAGTGTTTCATGGATTTCTAATAATTCATTCTGTGTTGGTGGAAACAGAAGTCTCACAAATGATGCTGAGGGATCATGAGATGAATAGTCTGAGAGCTGATAAATTAACTGATTGTATTCTTGTTCTCTCTTTGCTTATGTTTCCGCCTGTTTTCACCCTACAGGAAAGGGGAAGGATTCAATATCAATGTTTGAAATTTAATAGTAGATAATGGAACAGATGGGGGACTCTCACACACAGGAAAAATGTATTTATGTTGATATTTTCACTGAGTGATGTGTGCTAAAAGCACTATAGTGCTAGCAGGGAATGTGAAGGTACAATGGAGTCTACTTGTTTTATTAGGGTGTTCATATTTTTTCCTTTTTATCCTTTCACAGAAGCAAATCCAGAGAAATTCAACAGCCGATTTAGAAATAAAATGTTTTATGCAGGGGTGAGTTGTGATTCATCCTACAGAACGATGTTAACTTAGTTGTTTGAATGTTTTCTTCAGTACCTTCCCCCTCACTGTCACATCAGGAGCTTATGCCAGTTCATTTTGCCTGTTGCAATTTAAAGCACACATGTACTGTTTCTGGCAATGCCACACACACGTCTGTTGGAAAGTGCCTGAAGCACTGTTTTACACTGCTTAGCAGGTGAGAGAAACACTACTCCTTTGCACATAGGACTGGTCATGCCTTAGTCCCCCTGCTTCTGGCTTGTAAGCTTCTCAGTAAACTGCTCTGCTTCGTTCAGGGTTTGGGCAGCACACTGGTATTGACTTTGCTAGAGAAATTCCCCAAGCGTTGGCCTGTGTCTTGGTAGCTGTGAGGAGTAGTCTCGGATGTAGGGTCATGGGGAGTGGAGGGCGGAGATCAGCTATTTGGAGTGGTTAGTCTTCACGTGTGAATATTCAGGTGAAATTACCCACTTCTGCATTCAGGAGGTACATGGACAACACTTTATTCCAAAATGCAATTATTAAGAAAGAAACACTAATTTGATAATGTGTGCCATATAGTGTCTTTCTGGATGATGACTCCCACTGCACCCATGTGTCTTAAACATCAAAACAAATATGTGAGCAAGACTTTGCATTTAAATCCTTGGGAATCCGAGGACCTTCTTTGGTTAACCTCTCAGAAGAGGTATCATAATTTAAAAAAAAAAACCCATCATATCTCCTGAGAGCAAGAAATAATAGGTTTGACAAAAGGATTGCATTTGGTAATTAGCTCTGTGGTGTGATAAGAAATGAGGAAAGATGAGAGGAAGCAGTGATGACAATTCCTGCACTTACTTCTGTTTCAGGCAGCCTTTACAGACTTTCTGCAAAGAAGCTCAAGAGATTTATCCAAGCATGTTAAAGTTGTGGTAAGTATAAGAAATTGTGCCGTAATATTGTGAGAAGAGGGAGGAATGAAGAGAGAGCGAGGTGAGAGTTTAATGGCTCTGTTACTTTTCAGTTTTGAGCATGCCATTTGCAACACATTCCAAGGAAAATCTTGGGAAAGTTGTTACAAAGCAGCAACACTTCTCTTGTCTGTGGCTCCACTCAGCAATTTCTCTGTGCTCTGTCACTTTGGCTTTGTAGTGTGATGGTACAGACCTGACTCCAAAGATCCAGGAGCTGAAGTTCCAGTGTATAGTGTTTTTAAACATACCCAGGTAAGCCCAAGACAGATGCTTGGAGTTATAAAAGAAAAATAGTAATAATTAAAAAAAGATGACTACAAATTGTCCTAGACTGGGTGAATGTGCAGGAGGCCTATATGCCACTGTGCTGCCTTCTTGATAGCTAGGTGCTTATAATACTGTTATTTAGCAATACAGAATAGCATCAGAGTTCAGGGTACAGTGAAACCATCCTTTAAAAAGTTGAATATCCTGATGCAGACATAGTAGAAATGATTAACAAACAGGCCTTAAAAAGTTGTTCACCTAACCTGCAAACAAGATAATAAAGACACAGATGCCTGGTCTTTTGCTTAATAAGAAGCAGAGTGTGACAAAAGGGTGGGAAGAGGAAGCAGAGTTGGGCGGGGGGAAAGGATCAATGTTTTTCTGATAAAGAAACAGCAGACCCTTGAAAGAAGTGGTTTTTTTAACATGTTGGAAGGTGTCCCAAGTAGACAGCTTTTAAGAATACAGCTACATTTCAATCTCCTGCTTTCTAAAGCAGTGGTCTCCAAACTTTCATTGATTGCGCATCCCTATCGGTAAAAAAATTTTTGAGAACCACTCCAGTATATGTATATTTATAAATTATATACATATACTACTGTACTATTACATTACCTACATTATAAAACATACACAAAAATAGAAATTAAGGAAGGATGAGAAAAAGATAAAAAAAAAGATTTTAGTTTTCTTCTTATTTATTAAAAGTACAAATAATATTTCCTTCACACATCCCAATTGTGTTGCCCATTGCGGATTTTTCTTGCACCGTCCCTGTGATGCATGCACCCTACTTTGGAGATCACTGCTTTAGACAGCCTACCACTTTGCTCTAATCGTAGTCCCAAGCACTTGATCTTTTGAGTCCTGCACTGCCCTCACTGCAAGGTTCTACCTGATGTCACCTCTCCAAATTTCCCCCTGCTATCACTGTTGAATCACTTTTACATCCATTTTTTAATGGTAGGAAAGATAGATGCTACAGCTGTGTCTGTTCCTGCTTCTTATTCCTCCCTGCCTCCTCAAGCTGTGCAACATTTTGCATTCCTTGTTCTGTTCGAGCTTCTGGGTGAGCAGGGAGAGATGAGATAGAGCTCGAAAGCTGGAGTTGCTGCTTAGCCCCATGCCTGCCTAGCAGAGGGGCTAGGCAGCTTTCTGGCTCAACAGCTCATCTGAAGAAAGCAAAGCAAGTGGGGAGAACAAAGTGCTGCTGCTCTGTTACCTGTTTCCTGGTGTTTCCCCATTTTCCTCTCGCAGAGGAACCTGCTAAAGATTATGATGGATATGTTTATGGATGTTGTACCAGCTTGGAAACAAGAGACAGGTTTTCCCTTTTGTCCAGTCCTTGTCAGCATAACTTTTAATTGTCCCTGAGCTGAATCCTGGAATGGGTATCTGGATACTTCTGAAGGACAGCAGAACAGGCTAATAGTCAGGCTACTAGTCAGGACCCATCAGGGCAGGCTGCTTTCTCAAAGCTCGCTTTCCGAACCTCTTTCTGTAGGTATTGTGCTGGCACAATGCCCTGGGGAAACCCTGGAGATCACAGAGACTTTGAGCCTCAGCGCCATGATGATGGCTACATTGAAGTCATTGGGTTCACCATGGCCTCGCTGGTGAGTACACTGCAGGTGCTACCAGACTTGGGGAATGCTGTGGGCAGCACTGCAGAGAGCAAAGTTGTCCTCATTCCTGAAGAACCACCAGGATTCCACATACTCAGCTAAGGCCAAAACATGCTCTGCTGTTCGGTTTTAAAAGAGGGGGACATACTGTAGTTTTCTAATAGAAGAAGTGTTGTTTAATAATAAAAATGTAGCCTTTGCAAAATATGGCTAATTTGCGTGTGTGGTGGTGCCAAGATTATTACGGTAAGAACAGCATGTGGGCATGTTTTTACTGTGGTAATGTTGTACGGTCAAATAATTACTGCTGGCTCTTTTTAGCTTTTGTTATATTTTGATCCATGGCACAAAAGTTCTAATATTTTTGTAAAACTGGCTACTGGCAACAAATATGAAATATTTTACAAAATTATATGCCCATACTGTTTCCATATGCCCACTAAAAATGTTGTGAAAATTTAGTACTATTTCTGGCACAAATATGTCTTCTGTTGTTCTGCTA